GTAAAGAAAAAGTATTGCTACTACTGCAGACGCTATTCAGTTATAGCTCATTTAATGGTTTTTTTATGGACCTTTAGGTGTGCATTTGTGAGCGGTCACCAGATTTAAAAGGAACAAAGTGAATAAACATTACTTGTTTTTCCAATACATTTGTGTTGGTTTGAAATTTATCATGATCTGCTGCTACTGGCTGCAAAAATATCTCTACAAAAAAATAAATAATAATAATCTAGCCCAAATAACTTTTTAGTTGAATAGCCGTGAAATAGAGGATCAAACTCCATTAAACAAAAAGACACTATAGCAGTTTGTTGACCTCGAGTGCTGCTGATCTGACCCAAGCTAAAAACGACTCTTCCTCCCTCCTATTTTAAATATCACAGTCAGGATGTGCTGGTTAGCTCAGTGAGAGACCAGCAAACCATTGGCCACATGGCCAGAGTGCAGCGACGCATGCTTGAGCTGCAGCCCTTTGCTGCATGTCTTCACCCCTACTCTCTATTTTCTTGCTCATCTATCCAGTAGAGGCATAAATGCACAAAAAATGTTTTTAGAAAACATTTAAAAAAACACCGCAGTCAGGACTAACACGTGGTAATATTCCCTAGTTCTCTGGATTACAATGGAGACCCTACTCTGCAGAAGAATGCCAGAGTTACCAATCTCACAGTTAGTTGTGACAGTTTGTTGAACATGCTTCCTGGAATAGGGCCCTGTTGATGTCTTTGTTTTGGTTTTGCAACCATTATGAGGCAACAAACCACAATGCATTGCCATTCCAAGAACAATCACTGGTGTGTGTTTATATACATCATCGGGAATTCAATGGGGATGTGGCAAACAGCACCTAGAGGCCAACTTCAAGCCTGTAGCACAAATTACCATCAACTGTGGGATTTACCAATGAGATGCTCTGTCCCCACTGCTGTTCTTCACAGGCCTGAACCCCCTCAGCCCGACCATTAACAAGACTCGCTGGAGATACAGACTACAGAATGGAGCCACCTTTGCTTCATGGAGGACACGAAGCTGTATTCAAGGAGTGAACGTGGCATTGATTCACTGATCTATACAACAAGGATCTACAGTAGTGACACAGCTATATAATCCAGATTGCAGATGTGTCGTTGGACGGTAATAAAGAGAGGGGAGGTAGTCAGAATCGAGTGGGTTGCACTACCAGAAGGCAGCATTGCAGATATCAAGGAAAGTTAAAAGTACTTGGGAATCCCACAGGTAAATGAACGCCACAGTCACCAAATACCCAACATGACAAATCTGAATTTTAAAAAACTGGACTAAATTTCAATAAAACTCATTTTCAATGTAAAAGATACGCACAGGCTACAAAACAGATCTTTTTTTAATATATATAATACAACACTCTTAAAATACATAATGCAGGGACACTGAAGCTCTTGTAAATATGAAATTAAATAGTAAAATGGTAAAATGAGGAACTGACTGGTTCATATACAGCGCTTTACTGCTCTGAGCATTCTATAAAACCGCCTCATTCAACCATTCACACAAGCAACAAATATCAAACATTAGTACCCCAATGGATGCATCAGAGAGCAACCGGGGTTTGCATCTTGCCCAAGGATATTAGGCAAACAGACTGGAACAGCCCAGCATCAGAGCACCAACTTTCCAACTAAAGATTACCTGCTCTACCTCCTCAGCTTAAACTCTCTCTCTACATTCAAAACACTTGGAGATGACAATATGACCTGCGAGTGGACACTTTGGTTAAAACTGTTAGCCAACATCCTAAGATAAAGGATACTGGCAAATGGTAGGAATGACGTACGCAAGTTTTTGTGAAACAAGTCACCAAAAAGCCTTCTTCAAAAAGTGATCGCTGCCTGTTAGATCCGCTTTTGTAGCCCTCCATAACAACACCCACTTGCTGTATGCCCAGCAGGGTATCCTTTAAAATGCATATTGTTGGATAAAGATATACAGAGGACACTTACCAAACCACTTGTCGTCGGTTTCAGCATTCACTAGTTCTTTGAAGTCAACGACGTGGGACGGGGCATCAAACTCGTAGCGCTCCGAAGTATCCCCGGACTCGTTCTCGGCCATGTTTTCAGGTTATTTCTTCGACAACTCACTAAACAGGGAACTACGAAGATTGCAAACTTCAAATTATCAATCTTTCAGCCAAAAAACAGTTTTATTTGCAACAACCAAACTGAGGTGACTTGCACCCACATAAACCACGGCTAGGTTTCTATCGCTATGGCTTCATGGGAGACTATTGGCCGTGTTAGCCAAGACAACAGACCAAACTGGCTGGAAAAGGTCAAAAGCATTTACTTCTCGTCTCCTACGAGAATTTATCCCACAGTAATGTCACGTTAGTTTTGCAATTGCGGTTCCGAGTCGCTTTTTCTTCATAGAAACAGAATATAAACGGTAACATTGCTGATAAGGAAACAACTGCCGAGCTAGCGTTACATACGTCTTCACGAGAAGGTACTATTAACATAAATCCAACTATAAACTCACTCCATTATACACATAACAATATGCAACACTATATATTTTTTAGTGAGCTAAAAAACTACATCTGAAAATAAGGCAGCAATAAATAATGTAAATGACTGCAAAAACTCACCGTCTTTGCTCACTGCGACTAAAAGGGAAAACAAACAAGCCGCGCAGCGCTCAACGGAAGCGTTTAAATTTGCCACTGTTTTGAACCAGCCAATGGCAAACGTTGTATTCACCAACTTGTCACTTATTGGCTTATGCAATGTAAAAACGTATTACGTAACCACGTAATCACAAAACTTAAAATCTGCGTGATTTTGTACAGTGATGTGTGTAATTTTGAATACGCCGGCTCCAGTCCACATAATACTGAATATACGTTGTTATTTTTTAGAAATACACACCCACAAGTTGTTAAATTCAGTGTCACAAACTGAATCATCCAAAAGTAGAAATGTTTAATGTGTGACTTTCTTTTCGTTCTCTTAAAGATCGTTAAATAGGCAGCCACTTTTTCTTCCTCCAAACTTTTATGTCTTATAAACAGTGTAAATGGGTACATTCATCAGCTAAGGAAAAAAAATGCAAAAAAATGATGGAACAAAAAATAAATAAATAAAAAATCAGCAAACGTTGCAGTTACACATCATGATGTCAGTGTATGATAGCACATACAGATAAACGCACACAACTAAATTATAAAGTAATGAAATGCACGACTGATTTTGTTCCTGCCTATGTGTTAACCCTGCGACAGACTGGCGACCTGTCCAGTGTGTACCCTGCCTCTCGCCCAAAGACAGCTGGGAAAGGCTCCAGCGCCCAGCGACCGTGAAAACGATAAGTGGTAGCGAATGGATGGATGGATGATTTTGTTCATTCCTATTTTTCTTATGACCATGAAGTTTTCCAAAAGTAATGCACGTTCTTTTCAATTTAGTCCTCATCAAAAATAACAATATGCAACACTATATACCGTTTATTAAATAAATGAAATTTTTCATCACAGTCTTGACTTTCAGTGCCCCGACTCACTTGAAAAAATTCATATGTGCTTCTCCAGAATTTTAACTTGTGTGGGTAATATACAGGGTAATACATCTGCAACACGAGCTATCAGCGGTGACCCTTCAGTATATTGAATCAATAACATAGAACTTCAGAAATGATGAAGGGGATACTGTGGGTGTCAGCTAACCTTGCTTCATATAATTTAATAGATAAATGCTTTTTATACCAACTGCGCTCTAAACACGAACATCCCTGGGAGGCTGTACTCAGGGGCACAACCTTCAGCCTCTCGGTTAGGGCTAAACAATGACTTTTCATAATATATTATTTTGGTTGGCTAAGTTGCCGTTCACTCATGACTTCAACGTATCCTATTGGCTGAAAGTATGTGGTTTGGCCGGGACAATCCTCGTAGCGCTTTCGGGGGCGGGACTGTTAGTTCTGACAGGAAAACTAAAGAAAGGCGAGTATCTCGCAGGAAAAAGGTAAAACTCTGATTGCTCAGAATCTCCCTTTGCTTTTAAAAATTCTTAGCGTTGAAACTGGTATCAAGTAATATGCTTCCTTCTCTAAAGTGTGTGTGTTTAGGTCGACAAGAGGCCAGCTATCATGAAGAAGTAAGCAAAGTTAGCAAGCTAATGATTAGCTTCCGTAGACGAAATGGAAACTGCAGCTAGGTAGAAGTTAGCCGACACTCTGGTGACCTAAAGAGGTCAACGGGCTACTTCAGAACTGAGGAAACATTAGCGTGACAAGTTTTATGTAACTTCATTTTAACAGCGTTGAGCTGAGTTATAAGTGCCCCTCCATCGGAGGCACGTATCATTAAGGAAGTGAAGTTCTAAAGCAGCATAATATTACAAAATCCCCAGATAACCGAGGCTTAAACTCTCAGCAGTGTATAACGGTAAACTATCTTGTTGTGAAGTAGTTAATGGTTCTTATAGGTATTTACAGAAAAGACTAGTCGTTTATAGTATAACTGTAAAGTTAGTTAGGAGATCGATGTACTCAAAATATGTCTGCCTTTACTGAACTGCGTTTGAGCGGACGTCTGAACCTTCAGGAAATAGTGATGTCACAGAAATACATCCTGAAATTACTGCTTTGGATAAAGAAGAGTCACAGCGCTTGAATGGGTTTATCGAGACAATTTAAAAGCCAAATTGTGGCATTTGTGAGCCAACGTATTTATATTGGGTGCCATATTTAGTCAAAAGGACAGAAACTTGGTCTTAACTATCATAACTGTACTTTATTGTGTAGTGATGTGTTCAGTGTTATTGCCCCCCCCCCCCACACACACACACACACCCCAAAAATAAAGTTTCATTTTAGACATGGTTGTCATATGTAATAAAAACATGTCCACTAATGCTTTTAGCAAAACTCATAATTATTTATGTAAGAGATTAGTTCAGTAGATTCATTTTTCTAAAAAGGCAGCTTGGTCCAAAATAACTTGGAAAGTTGAAAAATAAAATTTAGTTTTTAATAATTTCAATTATCAAGGGAAAAAAACCCCCCAAACTACCTGGCCCTGTGGGGAAAAAGTTATTGGCCCCCTTGAGTTGAATTCAGTTTCACTCACCACAGGGCCTGATTACTGTCAGGCCAGTTTAATCAAGAAATTGCTTAAATACAACCTGTGTCACAACGTGAAGTAGGCTAAAAGATCTCAAAAAGTAAACCATGCCAAAGTCTAAAGAAACTCAAAAAGAGTTGAGAAACAAAGTAACTGACATCTGTCTGGAAATGTTTACAAAGCCATTTTTAAGGTTTTGGGACTCCAGGGCACCACAGTGAGAGCCATTATCCACAAGTAAAGAACACTTGGAACAGTGGTGAACTTCCCAAAATTGACAATGGGCGATATATTTGCACATGCACAGACTTTTTGATGGGCAGAGCAATGTAATCATGGACTGATTTGCATGTTTTACAATACAGAAGAAGGCCAAACATGGACAAACTAATTTCCCCCCAAAATTAGGGCTGTCAGCCCTAATGCGGTCATCACGATTAATGCGATTAAAATTTTGAATGCGCTCAACCCATCTGGAGCACAGAATGAACAAACTTTGGACTAACTGCTGAAATGCGTTGATAGAGACATTTCAGGGATTTTAATTCAGTCTGCGCTCCAGATGAGTTAATTGTTCATCGCGTTGGTCGTGATGATGGCACGTTAACGCTGACAGCACTAAAAAAATATATAAAGTCGCCAATTTGGGATTTCTTTGGCTTTAAACCAGATGACAGAGGTAAACCTAAGGACCAAAGCGGTGTGCCGCTTGTGCAGACGTATAGTGCTCAAACATGGCTAACTTAAATGAGCATGTACGTGTCCACCATCCGGCTGAGTATGCTAGGCACTCTGAGGAAGGGGCATTTGCTCACAGATGAATGAGGGTGCTGTTAAAGCAGCGCTATTATTTTTCTTTCTGTTGACTGCTTCTATTAGCTCCATCATTATTAGCAAACTTACTCATAGGCAAATCAATCAATCAGTCAATAAATAAATACTTTTTTGTTTTTGTTTTACGGATCTTGGAAGCTAGCTGACCAAAATGAGTAACATCCAAGCCATCAATACATATCGCCGACTATTCATCTAATGCCCATCTCCACTAGTAAGGTAGCCGCAGTAGAAGATATGTCACTGATAACAAGAACTCCTCACAGTACTTGCAGGTCTTCACCTGAAGTCAAGCTCTTCGAGCCTCTGCAAGCAATGGAAACAGGCAAGGTGAGGATTAGTAAGTGTCAGAACTGCAATCCTTGATGAAACAACGCATTCGAAATACATCAGGAAGATGACCTCCTGAGTTTAGCTGCTCCAAGAATGCCTAAGACAGCTGAAGATGGAGAGTGATGAGGAAGAGGAAGTATGGATGACTGAGCCCCTGCGTGTGATGTACCATTGACGGATGAAGGAAGTGGATGACATCAAGAAATCCTACCAGTTCCTAGAAGAGGCCGGCCTACAGGACAGCACAGAGGCTGTGATCATGGCACATGCCTCTATGGATCTAAGCACCAGATCCATAAAGGCGGCTGTCACAGCTGACAGGACCCAAGTTACAGACTGTGCAAAGGGACCCTGGAAACTGTGAAACACATAGTACCAGGATAAAACCTGGTGAGTGTTGTTCCTGGAATCCAGCACATTCCAGGAACAACATCTGAGACCTCTTTCCAGGAGAAGAGCGCAGTCCTAGGAACAGCTAAGATACAGAACGCATAATAGCAGGATGTCAAGTTGGGACTCAATATGCCTCCTGTCTGGAAAAACTAGTCACATGCATTGTTCAGGTGTGAGTTGGGCCCATTCTTCAACACAAACATTCTTCAAATTCTGTGGTGGTCCTTGGCTCTTGGACAACACTTCTGATAAGTCTTTTCCTGCAGGGAACCATCCGATCCACAAAGGATTGGATGTTTCCCAACATCTGGGAAGAATTTTATGTCAGTAGCGCCTTTACAAATATATTCCCTTTGAAAACTGGTGACATGTTCAATACTTATTTTACCTGCTGTATTTAAAAACTAGTCCACCTACCTAGATACAGCAAGCTTCTTTATTTTATTTTTTTAAACAAACCTGTGTTGTGCCTAATTTAGGGAAAATATGATTCAGCACCACTTTCCTCCTTGGGACCCTTAAAGGATGTTTTGGAATATAATTCTCAAACTTGGATAAACTTTTCTTCCATGTTTTCATTCATTGTGTGGTTGAACTTCATGCAGCTGTACACTTTTTTTTTTTTTTTTGGTGTTACAAACATACATCACAACGCACGGTTTTCAAAGCTCAACTGTTGAGGATTGACCATGATATGTGTGAGTGCTCACACTCTGCAGGAAACCGTTATTTTGCGGCACAAGCAATAGAAAAGAATGTGTTTCAGAGTGTGTGAACGGGCCTATAGGCTTTAAATGTTTTACAAATCCCTGCATTCCATTTTCAGGCAAAGCAGTGGCTCTCTGATACAGTTGTGTCTGGTTTAGTTACAGAGGGATATTAATAATGTCCTCATCAGGCACTCTACCTGCAAAGACAGGAAATAACTACAACTGACAAAAGCTAGAACTGTTTTGCCTAACGTTCAAAATAAGCTGTGATGAAACATTACAGTTGAAGTTATTTTGTGATTGTTGAGAAATGTGCAAACATTTTAGGGACCTTGCTTCAGCTCTGTCCAAGCACACATTATTTTCTTCTTAGTTTTACGTAGTATTTTCTCACCTTTTCAGATTTCTTATTTCCCTGATTTTGTGTTTTCACAAGAGCTCAAACCACTCTCCCTAACAAGTTTGTCTTTGGCAATAAACCTTTGTGTTAATTTAAATCTCTAGCTTGGCTGATGGATTCTGTACTTTGACTTTTTTCAGATGGCGGCAATCAGAAAGAAACTGGTGATAGTCGGTGATGGAGCCTGTGGCAAGACTTGCCTCCTCATAGTGTTCAGCAAGGATCAGTTCCCTGAGGTCTATGTGCCTACAGTGTTTGAAAACTACGTGGCAGATATTGAGGTGGATGGTAAACAGGTAAGCTGTTCATTCTAACAATAAATGTCAGATTGTTTTATATTTATTGTAGCACAGTAGCATAGCAGTGTGTGTGCTATGTGTGAGGCTAAGAGTTTTAAGACGGGACATATCTAAAGTACTTTAACACTAGCCAATTTCATAAATAGCACATTATATTGTAACTATTGATTGATGTATGTATGTTAATATTGAAGCTGAAACTAGCTTTAATTATTTTCTCTATCTTGGATAGCTTTATGAATGTTAATATAGATATAGCTGAAAAGAGCTTATTTTACATTATATACATTATTTATGGACATCAGTGGTTTGACTTGTTTGTATGTGTGGATTGGATGGTTACCAACATCTGGTAGAAATTTCTGTCAATAACAACTTTAGAAGTATATTTACTTAGAAAATTGGTGACATGTTCAATACTTATTTTACCTGCTGTATGCAAAGTGTTAAGGCCAGTCAAACTTCGATACAAGAGCAATGAATTTAGTTCAGCATAATGAGGCACATCACAAACTAACCACCTCCTATTACCAGTTTTAAATCTCTGTTTATATCTAACTGTACATACTCGTGTACATACCCTTTCAAACTGAATTTCTGTAATACTGCATCTCACCTGCAGTATCTGTGCGGCTCACGCTTTGGATTGACTGATCAAGCAAAACATGATCTGGAGCCGGGTCATAATTTTACAGCTTAGCAAGAAAACAAACAAAAATGAATCCATTTCCCTCCCAGTTGTAAAACTGGAGCGAGGTCTGTCCGTCCAAACTATCTATGAATGCAAAATCAAAACAATTATCAATGCATTACTCGGTATAGAAATTACTTGTAGATCACATTAATCTTGAGAGAATGTCTGCCTCCTCAAACAAGGATCTTGGGGGCAGATGTCACCAAGAGGTTGGTGGGTTGTGATGCTCTTTTCTTCTCTACTGTCGCCCCCTTAAGTTTGTCTGCACCTTCATCAGTCGAGTGCTCATGCCCTCGATTTTAGGACTCTGTGTAAGCTAGAACACTAATCAATGATTTACACCTCATGCACTTATATACATGCCTGAATGGCTTCCATCCACCTGTCTTCATAGCATGCTGTTACATGATAAAAATGGGCCTGTGTTTGAGGACCCTAAGCAGGATTGGTGTGTGTAGTAGGAATTAACTATAGTCCCTCCCCTGCAGGTGGAGCTGGCCTTGTGGGACACAGCAGGTCAGGAGGACTATGACCGACTGCGGCCTCTGTCATATCCAGACACAGATGTCATCCTCATGTGCTTTTCCATTGACAGCCCTGACAGTTTAGGTGAGTCTGTTTCTGTTGGTTTCATTAAAAAAAATGAAAAAACTCTTTTATATCTGCTGCATGTTTACCTTGTCCACATTGTACCTGATGCAGAGAATATTCCGGAGAAGTGGACTCCAGAAGTGAAGCACTTCTGTCCCAATGTGCCCATTATTCTTGTGGGAAACAAGAAAGACCTGCGAAATGATGAGCACACGCGCCGAGAGTTGGCTAAAATGAAACAGGTCAGTGACGGCATGCACTCATACAGTTTCATATTAATCCCACCACACAAACACTACACTAACATAACTAATGACAAAAATGTCCATAACTTTTGTGTGTCAGCCTTTAGTCTACTACAGTTTCCACTAACATTCATTAGGTTTTTTTATAGGGCTGCAGCCACTGATAATGAAGACAAATATATTTACTAACTTTTGTTTTGATATAAAGTGTGATATAAGTGAAAAGTTTGGTCACAGCTTCTCATTCAATGGTTTTTCTTTATTTTCATGACTGTTTACATTGTAGATTCTCACTGAAGGCATCAAAACTATGAATGAACACATAAGTGTGAAATAACTGAAAACATATTTGATATTTTAGATTCTTCCTAACAGCCCCTTTGCTTTGATTCCTGCTTTGCACACTCTTGGCGTTCTCTCCATGAGCTTCATGAGGTCGTCTCCTGAAATGGTTTCCAACAGTCTTGAAGGAGTTCCCAGAGATGATGAGCACTTGTTGGTCCTTTTGCCTTCACTCTGCGCTCCATCTCATCCCAAACCATCTCCACTGGGTTTAGGTCAGGTGACTGTGGAGGCCAGGCCTCCATCACTCTCTTGGTCAAACAGCCGTGACACAGCCTGGAGGTGTGTTTGGGGTCACTGTGCTGTTGAAAAATCAATGATGGGATGGAATGTTGCTGCAGGATGCTGTGATAGCCATGCTGGTTCAGTGTGTCGTTAGTTTTGAATAAATCTCCAATAGTGTCACCAGCAAAGCCCCCTGACACAATCACGTCTCCTCCTCCATGCTTCACAGTGCATGCATGTAGAGACCATTGTTCACCATTTCTGCGTCACGGGTGGAACCAAGCATCTCAAATTCTGACTCATCAGACCAAAGCACAGATGTCCACTGGTCTAATGTCCATTCCTTGTGTTTCTTGGCCCAAACAAATCTCTTCTGCTTGTTGCTTTTCCTTAGTCGTGGTTTCTTAGCAGCTGTTTGACCATAAAGGCCTGATTCACACAGTCTCCTCTGAACATGTAGAGAGATGTCTGTTACTGGAGCTCTGTGTGGCATGTATCTGGGCTCTAATCTGAGCTGCTGTTAACTTGTGATTTCTGAGGCTGGTGACTCGGATGAATGTGTCCTCAGCAGCAGAGGACTGGGGCGGTCCTCATGTGAGACAGTTTCATCATAGCGTTTGGTTCTTGCGACTGCACTCGGGGACACAATCAAAGTTTTCCAGACTGACTGACCTTCAGTTCTTGAAGTAATGATGGGCTGTTGTTTCTCTTTACTTAGCTGATTGGTTCTTGCCATAATATGAATTCTAACAGTTGTCAAATAGGGCTGTCAGCTGTGTACCAACCTGACTGCTGCACAACACAACTGATGGTCCCAACCTCATTAAGAAGGCAATAAATGAACCCTGACAGGCACACCTGTGAAGTGAAACCATGTCAGGTGACAACATCATGAAGCTCACTGGCCGAGGGTTTGCAGCGCTGTCAACAAAGCAAAAAAATCATATTTTGCATGGTTGGATCTTAACAAGGTTCCAAGTAGAGCTTCAATATGCAACATGAAGAAATGGGAGTGAGACAAAACAATTATTTTTGAAAACAACATTTAAACTGAAACAGGCTGTTTTACAGCTGATCAGAAGTTTAGGACCACACCTCAAAAAAAACCTGTAAACCCCCCAAAACAGAAATCAAAGGTCCAAACATGAACTCGGTCATGAGCAGCTCCACCGTGTTGATCACATCAGAAATTACTTCCGGCATGCTTGATGATTTGCTGGTAAAGTTAAGACAGGCTTCTGCATATACCATACTGTGGACAGGTGTGCTTTATACATTTACAGTAAAGAGTTCAGATGGGGAGTGTCTGGAATTGATTGATTGTAATCTGTGGGCTAAATGTGCTCACAGCCAATCTGTGGGAGGGATCAAAGACTTATTTCACTCAATGACAAACAAATCAAGATTACTTTTATGTTTTTGTTTCTGGACCTTCGGTTACTCTTACTGATCTCCATTAAAATTAATCTACCATGAACATTAGAGTGTGTTCATTTCTTCTAAGTGAGCAAACGTATAAATCCCACAGAGGGTCGAATAATGATTTCACTTCTTCTTTTTCATTGGATTGAGCTGGTTTTCCTTCATGGTTTTGTTCTTCCCAAACAGGAACCTGTGAAGTCAGAGGAGGCGAGAGAAATGGCCAACCGGATCAATGCCTTTGGTTACTTGGAGTGCTCAGCCAAGACGAAGGATGGTGTGAGGGAGGTGTTTGAGATGGCCACCAGGGCGGCGCTACAGGCCAAGAAACGAGGCAGAAAGAGTGGCTGCCTTCTGCTATAGAGTGTCAAGTTACACAGGTTAGGGAGGACAGGAGGAAAGGATCCTTGCCAACAAAATCATTCCTCCTGTTTCTACGTTGTCACCATGCTGTGCAGAATTGAATGGGTCCTTTTCAGGAATAAGGGAGAAAATCAAACTAGGTCAAAAGGGGAGTGTAAGCATTCATGTCCAAGGTTTAATCTGCCTTTAATCTGTAATCATATCTTTGGATTCATCAAACCTAAAATCAAGAGAACATGGAAAGAAGGAACCATCTCTCTTAAAGAGGTGCGTTGGGATTTCCAGACCTATGAAGTGGTCTCCGTTATTCTAAATTGCAGCCTGATGGTCTGTACACGAGCCCATCTTTAGAACTGATCCATCCCAGGTGTTCAGTACATTCACAGCTGTGTACCATATGAACAAGTTTCTGGAGGACTTGGCTTGTGGCGTTTCTTTCAGTTAACATCCTATTAGTCTGTACTTTTGTCATTTCCTTTATTTCTCTGCAAAGACCAACCAACTCTATACAGACCTGATTTCCTCCTTTATGATGATGAAGTAACCTGTCGCTGCAGGTTCACATTCAAAATCCACACTACCGCTCAAAAGTACAAGTTGCCAAATGTCAAATTAAATAATTCAATAAAAATCACACTTTTATTCTTTATTATTGATATTAAAAAGTTAATGATTTTTGCAAAAATAATTGAGTCTTTCCAGCATTCTACCATCAGTTTGCTGACATTTTAGTTCATTCTTCCAGAAGCTCCCAGTTTAATGTGGGTGAGAGTGGACTGAGATCCAATGACTGTGCTGGGTTCTCAGCTGCTTCTGTATAGTTTAGTCATTCTATGGCTCACTGTGCTGTTGCAGTCAGTCAGCATCCACAGGATCCGATGTTGTCCTGAATTTCCCAGAATTTCCCACTTCACCCCAAAGACCTCCAAAACTTTTACAAAGTGCCACTTGACAGGTGGCAGGCACACCTCCACGATCCTTCAGTCTTTGTCTCAGAAATATTCTTTTTGACCCAAATACCTCTGTTAGGTTTATCTGTTCATAAAACTTTCTCCCTGACTTCCTCTGTCCAACATCTGTTCTTTTTTCCCCACGTTATTTCTAAAGCACTTTAAAAACAACATAACAGCTGACCAAAGTGCTGTACAGAAAATAAGAGAACAAAAGAATAAATCAGTAAAAGTACATACAAAGGGTAAGAAGACGACAACTCTCACTGGGTTAAAAGCCAGGTGTGTGAGTTAAAAGTTGTGTTTTTAAACGGGTTTTAAAAACAGTGAGGGATGGAGCCTGCCTGACCTCCAGAGGCAGCTCATCCCACATTTTGGGAGCCAAAGCTGCAGAAGCTGGGTCTCCTTTGGATTTATAAAAGCACCTGGTTAGCTGATGTAAGAGCATGTGACGGCATGTAAGGGTGAAGCAGCTCAGGGGCAAAACCATTAAGAGAATTTAAAACAAAATAATTTTAAAATGGATTCAAAACCTTTACCCATCTATTCATTTTATAAGGTGGTCTCTTTTTTCCCCACTGTTTTTAAGCAGGCGTTCCTGATCTGCTTCTCAGCTCTTGTTGTTTAGTGTTTAACAGGTGTTGTTCTCAGACAGCAGACTCATGTATTTGGCCTGCTGCTCAGTTGGGCTGTTCTATAAAGGGAATAATATTGTGTACAATGTTCTGGGCAGTTTCCTGCATGCAATAGCGTTCACTTTCATAGCACATTATGGTTGAACACACAAAGGATGATGTTTCAGTTACTCAGCTAGCTAAAAGTTTAAAAATGTAATGAATTTACCTTCTAACATGATAAACTTGAATTAGTAACAACATGCCATTGGAACACTGTGTGCTAAAAATCGGCCTTTCTACTCCAGTACAGGTATTCCAATAAAATTACAGTAATGCATGATTACATTAGTTGTGTATGATGTAGTCATAGACTGTGGTTCATTTCTGACTTTTTGTTTTTCAAAATAAAAGTCTGCGCTTCTCTTTCAAAACAAGGACTTTGTGTGATGCCAAACCTTGTGTGTAAGATTAAATTACCAGTGTTTTGTACAACTTTTCAAAATTTGATTGCTCGATTTTGTTTTTCAAGTCATTAAACTGATGTGGACTGTCTAACACTGTATGTAGTTGGCTATAGAAGCGCTAACAAAGGCAAATGATCCTGAACAGAGTTTTTGTTAACTGTCAGATATTAAAGAGGCCTCGGTGTACCTCTGACACAGAGGAGTGGATGTTTATAGAAGAAAGGATTGTGTTCGAGTCGAGCAGTTCCAGTTTTAATGCCACACCTCCATGTTTCTGATCCGGTCTTGTTCACCTGCTGTCTTGAAGAGTTAATATAATGTACAATTTCTACAACACTAATTCCATCAGTGCTACAGTTAGACTGTAACTAGAAGGCTTTTAAGACTGGACACACTTGGTAAAGAACAGTGTTTCTCTTCTAATATCTTTGTGTTGTACTGATGGAATTAGGGCTCTGGAAATTTACATTATGCTACTTTAAAGCATGTTGTGAGGCTAATATGTAACTCATTATTTAAGTACAAGTTTGAACATTTATAGTGTACCTATATGTTTTGTTTTTCTTTCCTGCTCTGCATTCCATTGTATGCTATTTTAACTATGGGATATTCCATCAGCTTACTTTTGTATTATTTGCACATAGCTTCAAATGTCTGTGTCATATAAAAACACACAATGTCCAAATTCTGAAATGCAAAATGCAAGGATCTTCTATAGGATTGGTTATTTGTAAGCAAAATATTCTTTTATATCCAGTAGTCTTTTGTAAAGTTTTCTAAAGGAAATACATTTGAGAATGACCAAATCTGCTGTGTGTGTCACTTCTCATGTGTTTTGTCCTCTTACCCACTTAAGAGTGTCCAAGTCTTGGCTCAAGATGGTGAGCATGATGGTCTGTGTAGATGTCCATGTGTCTGCAAACGTATAACAGGAACATATTCCCCATCGATGCTATAACCTCATCAATAGCCAAGTTTAATCCCAACTCCATACTGCAAACATTCAACTGTTATAATATTCAAGTATTCCAGATAAGCAATGAGTCTAGTTTTTGCCTCACAAAGGAAAAATAACATAAAAACCACAGTGTAATTACTGGCCAACACTTGGCAGACTTATGATGTAAGTGTGTGTGAGCCCCACATTTAAGGGCTTTAGATGCAGAGAGATGCAGAGAGGCTGGAGAAGGTTATGAAAGCCATTCTAAAAACCTGACAGTTTAGCAGTTCAGCGGATAAAATGACTGTTGCTGTTTTTTCAAAAACAATGCACTGCACATCAAACCTCATCCCAACAATGACATATGGTGGAGGAAGCATGTTTTGGGATCAACGCCTGATCTCTTCATCCTCAAATATATTCCATTGTGGACACAGACAACTGGAGACCCCGAGGAGTCATTACTTTAAAGTCTGACACTAGTGGGCATGCAAGTGGAAGTACATCTGAGGCTTTACAGTCATTAAAGGAACAATAAATTGAATCAATGAGTCTGATTATTTGCACTGGATCTAGCGAGCGATTCACAAGTTGAATCTTAGGACAGTTTGATGAAATAAGATAAATTACCCAAAGCATGGATGTAAATTAATATCAGAATTATTCAAAAAAAAATCAGGGAGGTCTGTGCTTAACCCACATGAGGTGGTGTAGCATGATGCGATGATATTTTATAATCAAGATATTCCATAACTGTTGATGAACTGAAACACCTCGCAGAAGGACTGGTCCAAAGTTGTTCTTCGTTACTGTGCAAGTGTCACGAGCAACTGTAGAAAAACCTGTGATGAAGACTGGTCCAGTGAACACTCTTAAGATTTTACAACAGAAAGCACCAATAAATAAAGATGAACTCGCAAGTTCCACTTTATTGCTGTGAGGAATCTCAAAACATTCTTCTTTTGGAGTGTTATATGTGTATATTGTCGTATATATCACTGTGTAAACAGTTTTTCAGCTGTACCAAACACAGCTCCACACTCTGTCAGGTTTATGTGACCAGTGCTGGATCCCACAAACCACCCGCCTACACAGCAAATATCCATGTGTGCTTTACTCTAATGAGGTTGCTTATCTTCTCTTCTCTCAAAAGAATAACATAACATATTTTTCTTCTCTACATTTTTATCCTATAGACTTGCAGTATATAAGGAGATGACTAGATTTGAATCAAGTATGATTACTGCATTTAATGGGTGGAAGTGCAGAAACTGAAATTGCACTTTGAACTTAAAAGGTCGTACTATGACTATAGATAATATAGAGCATATTTACTCTGAGGTCTGCATGACACCTGCAAAGTGTTGTGCATGATAACTCTTACATGTCATTCTTAGATCCAGCACTCATGTGGTTCAGCCATCCTCTGAACCACTCACCTGCAGTTATCAGGCTGAGCCCACTGAACAAAACTGCATGAAAAACACCTGTGAAATATAATAACTCACTATATTTAATATTAACATGTTGTACAATAAAGTGTATGACTTTTCTTTAGTGTTTCTGAAGAAACACTAAAGAAAAGTTCACATTTTTATGATGTTTCTTGCAACTGTAAATGTGAACAACAATGTTGGCACCACATGACATATGGTGCCTCAGGCACAATGAGTTTAATCTTCATCTTCGTTCTATAATATCTGGTGGAGTCCTGTCACAAAGTCCTGATAGTACGGCTCTGAAATGATAACAAAAAGAGAACTAAGGCAGTGAGCTGGTTTTTTGACTGGACATTTTGCAAACACCCACAAACCTGTGTCAGGGTCAATGTACGAGTGTCTTATGAGAAAGTCCAAGACTACCATGGCAGAGTTGGGTTTGAAGTCATCAGTGGCCAGCAGTTCCTTCACCTGAAACAAGATGCTATATTTTATATCTTTGTGTCATCTATATCTCAACCCATGCAGTACTGGCTCCTAGAAGCTGAATTCCCAAATTATAGTATGAGAAAAACACTAACCTTATCTATGGGGAGGAGGTAAAACTCCTGCACCTCTCCATCCCCTATTATGGGCTTAAACTCCAAAGGAAGTTCCAAATCAAAGACAAACTGGCTTTCTGGAAACACACCCTCTTCATCCTCATATGTGTAGCTTGAAAATAAAATAAAACAAAAGCAGCTAAATTGTCTCTTTGAAAATCCGATTATGTAACTAACTGTTTCATAAAGCAATGATTCTCCAGAACAGGAGGTTCTTCCAGAGGTGTCACTGTGAGGCTGTGATCCAGCCACACCAAAGCTGCAGTATATCAACACCAGTACCGGTGCCCTTCTACCATTCTAACTACTAAAACGCATGTTTTATTATACCCAGTATTTAATTCATTTTTATCACACTATTCCAATTAATGTAAAAACAGTGTTCACAGACTTGTGTTTGTTCTGCCTGTTACAGCAACACGATCGAGCTGCAGCTGCTGAGAGGTTCTAAGCAGCTGCGCAGGCTTTGAAGTGACAGATCTCTAGATCACAATCAAACAATCAACAATCAAAAATACAATGTAGAAATGTAAAAAGATATTGCAAATAAAAATAATTCTGGTTTTATAGACAGAAGCTGTCTGATGGTTTTCTGTGGTACATCACAGTGGAATGAGCCTTTTCCACAGTGCCTCCTGTTACTGTCCAGCAACAAATATACTGATAAAAATAACAAATTCAACTT